TACCTGGACAGAGAGGGCCTAGCTACAGTTATCCATACTTGCAATGGGTCTGCCTTTGAATTATTTGTTTAGCCAGTGTGTTTCCAAGTTTTAATTGTAATTGTAATTCTATTTGTTTTATTTATCTGTTGTTGTGAGCCGCCCCGAGGCTATGTAGCAATGGGGATGGCATAGAAAAACTTTAAATAAATAAATAAATAAATAAATAAATAAAATAAAATGGTCCAGAAGCTTCAGCTGATGCAAAACAGGGCGGCAGGACTGTTAATGGGGACTTGCTCACGAGAACGCATTATGCCAGTCTTCTTCCACCTGAAACAGGTGTGAAACTAACTGGCCTGCAATCTCCAAGCTGGTTTCCTTTTCGGTACTGGTGTTACTTTGGTTATTCCCCAGTACTCTGGTACAGAGGCAACACTTACGAACATGCTGCTTTTTCTGTAAGAAGGTCAACAATTTTGTGCTTAAGTTCTTTAAGAATTCCAGGATTGATACTATCTGGGCCTGCTGCTTTAAGTGTCTGCTTGGTTCCTCTGACTCCCTCCCTGGATGCAGAAACAGGTGTCTGCATTGAAGCCTCTGCTGTAAAGGCAGATGAAAAGAATTCATGCCGCTTTTCCACAGTCTCCTTATCCTCCTTTAGTTCTCGTGTCACTCCATCATTGTTCATTGGTCCAGCTGCTTGGTTTCCTGCTTCTGATTTATTTGAAGAATTATTTATTGTTGGCCTTGATACTACTTACAGTATGCTCCTAAAAATACATCTCTTTTCATCCGCTTTCACCTCCCTTGTGCAAGTGTGTGCTTCCTTTTGTTTTCATCATTAGGGCAAAGCTTCTGAAGGAAGCCTTTTAATCCTTAATCGTTTTTGTGCCACCACTTGTTAACCATGCTAGTGACATCTTGGAATCCATGCTGTCCTTCCTAACATAGCATGTGGTATACATACTATATAAGTTTCTATTATTGTGGTTTTGAACACTTTCCAATGATTTTGAAGGGATTTAACTTTCTTGACTCCCACTGCAACGTTTCTTTTTGTCATTTCCTTCATTTTAAAACGTTTTCCTCTTTTGAAGTTAAATATGACTGTGTTGGACTTCCTTGGCAATTTTTCCACTTAAATCTGATAGTACTGTGGTCGCTGTTACCAGTTGGTTCAACAACATTCACATCTCATACTAGGTCCTGGGTAATCCCTTTAAGGATTAAATCCAGTATTGCTTCCCCTCTGGTCAGTTCCTTGACTAACTGTTCTAGATAGAAAAATGTAATCCCTCTGTTGTAACTGGAACATATATTTATCCACTCACTGTTAGGTGTAGTTGAATTCACCTCATTTGGAAGCCTCCCTGATTTCATTTTCCACCTCAAGATCACCCTGAGTGTTTTGGTCTGTAGGAAGATAGCATGTTCCTAATACTAAATTAGTTTTTGGAGCCAGGGTTTGTAACAAGGGTTTGGACAAAGCTCACCGGAACCACCCCTTTGACTACTTCTTCTCATCTTGGCCCAGTCTGGCAAAGGAAGCTGAGCCAAGAGGTCCCCAAAAACTTGAAGAATGAAGACTGCAGAACTGGCAGGCTTCTTCAGCATCAGGTGCAGCAGTTCAAGGCTGCTGCAGGTGGTGAGGAAAAGGGGCAATGTTTGTGCCATGGTGGCATGGGGCTTCATCCATTGCTGCACGTGGCAAAGAAGAGGGATGCTGCTTGGGCAGTGTCTATATGGGGCTTGCCAGGAACAGACTGCTACCCAAGCAGCACCCCTTTTTTTGCCTCAGGTGTAGCAGCACTGCTGCACCTGACATGGAAGAGGGACACTGCTTGCAAAGTACATGGGGCTGATTCCTGGTAAGCACTTCATGAATCCTGGGCGTACTTGCCAGCAGTTTGGACTCAGGGCCAAGACAAAGTGGGCCAAAGCCCAGGAAACCGAGCCCGGGGAATCTGGCAGATACCCAGTCACAATATGGATCATTCCATATCCCTAATTCTTATGCATGGTGCTTCTGTGGAGGAATCTCTTTAGGGTTTTTTAAAAGTCTGCTAAACACTATGCATTCTTTATTATAGAGTTTATGTTTATATACAACCACAGTCCACTCATTCTCTGCATTCTATCACATTTCCACAATGGTTCTCCTTTAAAACCAGGCACTTCTGCATAAGTAGGCACTTTCATAAAACTGGATTCATATTTCAAACCAGCCACTCCAACTCTCTCAGTTTAGCTTGTCATATTTGCATGGAAACACATATAGACAGTGTCCCTCTCTAGACATCTCTGGTCTTTGCAACTTCTGTTTTGTCACCATGCTCTTGGCCTATTTTCTCCCCTTCTACATGTAAGCAATCAGAAACCTTTTCGCCATTATTCTCTAGCAATGATTTAATATGAACAGGATGCTTCTCAGCTTCTGTCAGCTTTCCTCACAGTGCTTGGTTTAAAAGCTACTCTGCCCCCTCTTTTGTTTAGCACCCACACTCTGGTTCCATTTTAGTTCAAGTAGTGCCTCTGTCTCTCTTGCACAAGTTCAGTTTGTCCCAAAATTGTCCCAAGTTTCTAACAAAACTAAGCCTCTCTCCCAACATCACTCATTGAGATTCTTTTCTAACTGGTCCCACACGTGAACAAGTAGCTTTTCGGAGAAAGTCACCTTGATGATCTTGGGTTTCAGCCTTCTTCCTAGCAACTTAAATCAGCTTCTAGGACTATTTGGGGGATTTCACTATGAGACTCTCATTGCTACTAAAATCAACACAAAATCAGCAAATGCAGAAATGGGTGGATGCGCAAAACTGTGCCAGTTTCTTCTTGAATTCATGATTTAATACCCTCTCCCCATATGTTCATATAGAGAACTCAATTAATTTATTAATTTATATATAATTAATTAGTTAAATTAATGTCAATAGGTATTCATGTTGTGAGTGGAGCCGGCTGGTGCCAGGGTCAGACTAGATGGCCCGGGAGACCCCTTCTGACTTGCTCTGTTTGTATGTTTCTTTTTATTTGCTCATACATCCTATAATTGAGATGTAACTAAATAAGCACTATCATGTTAAGAACATCGAAAGAGCTGTGCTGGATCAGACCAAGCACTGGAATAATTTAAAAAACGCTGGTCTCCCTTAGACTTTTTCTGCACAGTTTGCTGCAAACAGAGCCCCCACAAAGTGGAAGGAGGTAATTTACAGTTGTATTTATTTATTTAGCGCTTTTATGAATGGTTTAATTAGTAACCAGCTCTCAGAACAGTGTACATCCAGTTATTTCATTATGTCCTAAAGCTCCCTTCCATTCCGTTCCAAAGTGTTGAAGGATCTTCAGAACAGGTTTGGGAGGGAGGAGAGGACATATTGAAAATCTGCTCCCTTCTCCACAGAGCTGATCCAGCCTATGAAATTTTCTTATCCAGACTGTGGAACTTCCATGCCTTCTTCCAGGGGTCGGGGTCTGACCTCCACATCCACGCACTTGAGGAATCTGTGCTGCTACATCCAATATGTCATGGCCCGTTTGGAGGACAAGTGGTGCTTAGCAAAATCTCCCTTGGAATCTCTGATCACATAATGGCAGGAGTGTATTACGCTAAGGATTTAGCATTGCATCATCTGGTCTGTAGAAGGCCCAGTGGGGCCAACTTGCCGCCCCTAAAAAATTTCCCCATTTTTGCCTTAAAAGTTAAATATGAGTATTTTTAAAAACCCGAGACCAATCATTCTCCAATGTAAACAAGCAAACAGTATGCCTACTGATTTTTATGACTTAGAATGTCATATGTGTTTGTTAAAAGAAAACATCTTTCATTTTTATAGACAAATGGTAATATATTAAGTACAAGTATTAAGTATAATATGATCTAAGGTAGGCAGTCTTTAAGCGCAGGAAAAAATGCTGCCTACCCTAATTTAACAGACTGCAGCAAATGTATATGGGACATTACAGGAAAGTGGAAGGAGAAGGGCAACTTTCTAAAAAAGTATTAAGGTTGCTACTGTGTAGCTTACTTGCATTTTCAAAAGTAAATCAGCTAATGCCTCATTTATGCAGACATAATCTGATCTGTTGAGTCATTTCTGCTGCTACACTTCAAATGGCAATTCCTCATATTATTTGCTAATACAAAAGAAGAAAATTTGAAAGAGAAACCCTAAGGAAAAGCATTTGATAATTTTGAGGGTGGATTTCTCAAATAATCACATTAATTTTATTCATTGTATTTCTAGCCTGCTTTTTTACTGCAAGGGATTTAAGATGGCTTATATAATCTTCCCCCTTCTTTTGATTTTATCGTCACAACAACCTTGTGAAGTTGGTTTGAATTTGAGCCAGCAACTGGTTCAAAGTTACGCAGTGAGCTTCTTGGCTAGGTAGGGGCCAGACAGTGGATCTTCTGAGTCCCAGTCCGGCACTCTAACCACTATGCCACATTGGCTGTCCTTTTCCATTTGCATCATTATGAAAGATCAGCATCTTAGGGAAAGATTCTCCAGTCCCCAGACATTGTTTGATAGACCACAGGAATCCTCGAATGCCTAAATCCTAAATCAATCATGCATTCCAATTTTGGCCTGGGGATTGGTGCTCCAAGCCCCCCACCCCGCCCATCACAACTGGCATGGAAAAAGTGCACTGTCTGCTCTTTGCTGTGTGGGGTGGAAGGAGTCATTTTAGGGAGCAGGTGATGGAGGAGGCTGGAGCAGGCAGATATCGTCACTAGAAAATGGAGAGCAGGAGGAGCTCAGATACAGAGCTTGCCTCTGCAGCTTCTCCTTGGCACTGGATGAGTGTGGCCCTCCAAGTTCAGGGCTTGGGGTCATTTCCACAGAATTGTGCCATTTATGTCTTGAAATAACACATGCTCTGATATTTTTTTTAAAAAGAAGTTGGGGTATAAATGTTTTAGTTAATAAATGTACAATATATATACAATCAAATAAATAAATGATAAACAATATAACTGTGGCTATTTTTCTTATGTTTCCTCCCATAAATAGGTGACAAAGAAAGTCAAGTCCATGCAGATGTTTCATACTCCAGTAACCTGTGCCATCCAGGGAGACAGGGTAGGAATTTGTGTAACCCAGTTTGACCCAAAGCTGTTGGAGCGTGGTCTGGTCTGTACACCTGAATCTCTGCAGACAATTCATGCTGCTATCATCTCATTAAAGAAAATTCCGTATTTCCGAGGCACTCTTCAGACCAAGGCAAAGTTTCACATTACAGTTGGCCATGAAACTGTTATGGGAAGAGTGATGTTCTTCAGCCCAGCACCTGATGACTTCAGCGAAGAGCCCCTGGAGAATTATTTTGATTTTGGAAAGGAGTATCTTTATCAAGAGGAATATCTTTCCAAAGAATCAAAGTCTCCAGAGGAGAACAAGGAGAATGATCAGATTGGAGAAAGACAGCTTCCAAAACAACAATGGGCCTTACTTGAGTTTGAAAAACCAGTTACTTGTCCCAAACTGTGCCTTGTGATTGGCTCAAAGTTGGATACTGACATTCATGCAAACACTTGCAGGTTGGCATTTCATGGGGTGCTTCTTCAAGGAATGGAAGATAAAAATTACACAGACACATTTCTTCCAAAGCTCAAAGTGTACAAGCTGAAACATAAACAAGGGCAAGTGGAACGGGTAAGTTTGTATGATATAATTTGAAGGTCATATTAGACCATTGGATGGTCCAAAAGTCTTAATATAGAGAAGGATTTAGCATCTGAAATACTGGTATGCGATGCAGGACAGCACCATTACCTTAGAGTCAATTGTGTAATAATAAGGTAAAATGTTGCAATACAACCGTCAGCGTAAGTGCTCTGGAGGGCACTAACTGCAGGAAGAAGACAGAGTGATGATTTTCTCTGGTTATGCTTTCCTTGTGCAGTCCCCCATCCCCAGTGCCAGCTTCCATATTGTTCCAGAGAGCTTTCTTCCAGGGCATTATGGGAGACAGGATTGGGATCTGCAGGGGTGAGTGAAGGGACACTGGATGCAATTGTCACCCTTTCCCCTTTTTACAGTATGTGTAGAATTCAGAAGAATGCATCTGAATCCAACCCCAATGCTTTTGTTGAAGCCTGTAAGAATTTCAAATAGGGCTAGAAATGTTCTGTTCTGGAATCTTCTCTAGAAGCATGGAATGGAATCTGGTCCAGCTTTCTGTTCACCTAATGCCCAAGCAGCTGCCTGTGGGTGACTCACTAGTAGGACGAGACTGCAATAGAACACCCTTGCTCATGTTCCCCAAGGACTGGTGTACATAAGCATACTGCCTCTGTACCTGGAGCCAGCATTTACCATCCAGCCTAGTAGCCATTGATAGCCACCTTTTTTATGTATGTGTACAGTTTCCTTTTAAAGCTGTTACTGTATCCTGTGGAAATGACTTCCATAGTTTAAGTATGAAACTAAGTTTAACTCTGGAGTGAATTGCTTCCTTTGCTCAGTCACGGATCTCCTACTGCTCAACTTCAGGGGATGACCTTGGGTTCTAATTGTATGAGAAATGGATCCCTATGCACTTCACACCATAAATATTTTTGTACACCATAATCCTTTCTCCCCTCACTTGGATCTTCTCTGAGCTAAACTGTCCCGGCTACTGTAACTTTTCCTCATAGGGGGATCTTTCCAGTCCTGATTGTTATGGTTGCCCTTTTCTGCACTTTTTCCAAGTTTACAATATCCTTCTTTTTCATGTGATGACCAGAACAGGACATAGTATTCCAACCGTGTTTGCACCATAGATTTTTTCAAAGAGAGTATGGTACTGGTCGGCTGATTAGTTTTACATATTACAAGTTTACATCAAGTTTTGATAGACAATTTGCACTTTCACTTATGAATTCTTTAAGAACTTTAGGTTGGCTACAATAAGATTCTGATGTTCTATTAGTTCTCTAGTTCTCAATAATTTGGAGACCTTCATATTTGGTCACCAGAATTTGTCTCAGCACTTCAAACTTCCTTCCTGAAAACTTTAATTCAGACACAGCTATCTGTCCTACATATAAAATTCATTCAGTGACTCTGCAGTCTGCTCATTCTTCTATGGTACTCCTTTAACTTATGCTGGCATCCAGCTGTCCAAGTGTCCTTGGTTTGTTTCCTGCTTCTTAAGATTTTTATTGTTGGCTTTTTTGTTAAAAATGTTTTCTTCAAAATGCTTTTGATAATCCCTTATTTTGCATTTACGTAGCACAAGTTTGTATTACTTTTTGTTTCCTTGTTTAGGTAATACTTCCATGTTTTAAAGGAAAACTCCTTTTCTCTAATAGCAGCTCTAACATTGCTCGTTAACAGCGTTGATGACTTCTTGGACTTGGTTCCATATTTCCTAACGTGTAGTATACATTCTAGTGAGGTCCTATTAATGTGGTTTTGAGTTACTTCCAAGCATTTTGTAAAGATTTAACTCTCTTGAATCCCTTTTTCAATTCCCTTCATATCACCTGTCTTATTTTAGACAATTGTTCTCTTCTGAAGTCAAATGTGACTGTTTTGGACTCGCCAAGCAACTTTTGGACTTGCCACTTAAATATGCATTAAACCTGACAGCATTGTGCTCATTGTTTCTAGTTACATCTCACAAAACTTCCTAGATCCTGGGTGAGACTAGGGCCACCTCCCCTTGGATTGTTTCCATGACCAACTTGTTCTAGGGCACAGTTGCTAAGGGCAGGGGGAAATGTAACACTTTGTTGCAAATGGTATGCTTTTTCTTTCTTCTTTGCAGGATTATTTTTCTGTATAATTTTAGTACCTAGACAGCTCATAGAGACACAGAGGTACAGTTTTTCTAGCTTATATGGTTAATTATGTTAGATCGCTCAGGGCTTGCTTATCTTGCCTAGGCTTTTTGGGAAAAGCTGCAGCTAAATTTTGGTCCCATTGGTGGAAAGCATGAATGAATGGGTGATGAAATCATTGAGTGCTTTAAGTAAAGTCCAGACTCTGGTTTAATAGTAATGCTGGTTTAGATGGTCCCACCCTGCTGCCGATGGATGTCTGGAGATTAAAATAACTGAATTTACAGCGTCTATTCTTGGCATTGATAGAGGAAAACTTGCATTCTCTTTGTCAAGGAAGGAAGTGGGTGACTGCCCACTCAGTCTCAATGCTCTAGGGATGCATTAAATAATAGTGGTATATATTTTACATTTCTGAGGGACTGGTGTTCCCTTAAAAATATCGTGGTATACAGATTAGCTTCATGAATTCTGGTAGAGTTGGGAATGGAGAAAAGCGAATGCATGCTGTTAGTACTTTGCCAGTTTCATGGGCATTTGTTCCTGAAGTTAGCTTTTAGTGATATGTGTTGTGGGCATATGTAAAATATGCTAATTTAATAGAATTTTAGCTGACCATGTTCTTCTTGTGTGATGCTAAAATTCATGTAATTCTTTTCACTTTGTCTTGAAGAAATTCAAATCAGGAAATTATGGATGGTCTGTTGCTTTGCTTACCAGTTTAATACACTATTCCTATTGTCTTCTTAAAGTCCCCTGTTTTGCTGTGACAAACAGAAGCTGATAGAGACCACTGTGGTGCTCACCAGACCATTAACAGGCTTTTGTGCAGCTGTTTTCTTCACTCACAAAAATCATGGCTTCACTAGCCTGGATTTAAGTAGTAGCTGTAAAGACCTGGCACCAAGTTTTTACTACTTATAGTGCCATCAGCCACTTAGGCTAGTGCTATAGCTGTCACACTTCAACAAGATTCTCTACTTCTCACAGAGCTGTGGACACTATCAGATGACTGCAGCTATACTGCCAAAGGAATGCATGGTTGTTAGGATGTGTACCTTTGTGAACCCTCCATCTCCATAAAGTGGACAACTCTAGCTCTACAAATCCATGGAAAGAGAGCCTGTGAAATTCTGGCTTATACATGCTCAGTTTTCTCAATAGAGTGGTATAAGCGCAGCGACTGAGAGTGCCTCCTTTCACCTGCAGCCCCAGAGAGTACACATATAAATAGTGTCAAAAAGCAACCATATGAATAGGACCAATCTCTCCTATCCAACTGATCCTAAACAAGTGAGAAAGTCACCCCGTCTGAGTTGCTTTGTCTTAAGCACACACATACCAGTCCAGTGTTGTGGAATCACACAACAGAGAAGCAGTTCCATACTACCTGTGTGTCTGCATGTGTAAGCACACATGAAGAGACCCATGTGATCTGTCAGTTGGAAAACTACTTCAAACATTACCTCAATCAGAAATATACTGCGTGCTATAAAGTCACCCACTGGTTTTGTTTTGTTTTGGCCACACTCCCCACTCTACCTCCAATTTGCACAATTTGGAGGTTTATAATATTGGCATATTTCATTATTTAAAACATTTATATTCCACCTTTCTTCCACCTTGAAACTCAGTTTACTGTTATTGGAGGTTTATTATGATTACTGTGAAGTGCTTTGAAAACAGTGAAGTACTCTGTAGCACTTTTATCATCTCAAATAATAATGGGAGAGAAATTCATGGTTCTACCCAATCTGTGTGTCCAATTTAGACAACGAATCATAATGAGGAAACACCATCACATCTAGTTTGGCCTCAAGCCTTCATGACCCGTCTGCAACAAGTTCAGAAGTAAAGGTGAACCATAGATTATGTAAGCCGTCCTGATTAGATTCTGAAATGTTGCTTTGCTTTTGGTGGGGATATTTGACAAAAGGTAACTCTGCAGTAGTAGCAAGAGACGGGGAATGAAAACTCTCCACCATGTCTGCAAAGCAGAAGCTGCACTGCTTACTGTTATTTTGGACTTGATTGGTGAAAATAAACTTGCTCCCTGCTAAAAAAAAAAAAAAAATGCACACACAACTCTTTGGCAGCTGAAACTCTGCTAAAAGATGGTTGGCTAACAAAGTTTCATCAATAGATATGTTTATTAGGTGTTTGGATACCGCACTTGTTTGTATCTGTAGTTACATACCTTTGCCAAGCTTTTCCTACATGAGAAATATTCCAGCTGAACAATCCTATGAAGTTTTCGGCTGGATCATCATTTACCTACTTATCTCATTCTACGTTCACTCAATGATTTACAGCCTACAGGCTTGCTCTAGTCTTCTTTATACCCAGTGGCAGTTACTGGGGGACTGGGAAGCCACTAGTCTGCCTACCTCTTCCTGTCTCCCTTTTCCACTTCTCCCAGTCACTCCAGAGCCTGCAGCGGACGGCACGGCAGGGAAGGGTGCTGACTTCCTCTTCCTTTCTCTTTCACCTTCTGCTGCTGGCTGGGGAGAACATTCTATGAGTAGGAGTGGCCTGCACATGTTTGGAGGTTCTCCAGACCCCTTCCCATATTACCATGGTCCCAATCCACATTGGGCCTGCACGTGCTTACCCAAGGGTATGTAAGAGTCAAACATAATTGCTTCCATTTAAACATGCATGGCCTGGGTCTGGATCAGGAACCTCCTTCCCCCCAGTTTTCATGTTGAAATTCCACTTCACCCACCCTGCGTTTTTTTAAGCTTTCAGAGCCTTCACTGGAAAACGAAGGGTGTTTACCCCTTTAAAAAAAACAACAACACTCTGTTTGTGTGCATGCATCCATGGATGTGTGGCAAGGGAACTGGAAGTCTGGTATGGAACCAGGTGAAAAGATTCCCCCGTCCT